TTGTTTCGAATATCTCCAACTTCCCTCAATTCTTCTGGTAATGTTGTTTTGCTAGAGTAATAATCACTCAAATGTGATGAATAGCAAAGCAAATGTCATGCCTCAGAACTGTGTAAATGCATTAAAGAACCCTTTAGAAGGAGTTTGTAAGGCAGTCAGATTTTGAGAACCTCATTTATTTCAATGATTACTAAAGACCAAAAATAGTTGGGTTATCTTCCTGTTTAAGAAGAGGGTTCCTTATTCCATTTACTTCACTGGAGAGGTAAATAGTCATGATAGTTTTGAACTTATGACTGATTCTCTGCACTTGGCCATCGTCATCCCCAAACACACAGGTTTCTGCAGATATTCAATTATATTTAATCACTCTTTTCAAAATCTGTGAATTCAATTCAGGATTATAGGAATACACCTATCTTCATCCACAGCTTAAGTCACCCCTTGTTCCAAGTTGTTGAGAAAGTGATATGGGGGATTTTGTCAGATAAGATTACTCTCATCATTGTTATTCTACTAAGTGCCTCCACTGAAAAGATTTGAGTGGAAAGGGGAGTAGACAGTAATTCTTGGATTGGCACAGCTCTCAAAATATGACTCACTTCTCCACCATTCCTCTATCACTAACCCACCGACATGCTGAGAAATTCAAGTAATCATTCTTGAGACTGGCCAAAGAAAAACACAAAAATGAGTAACTGGCTATTGAAAGGTCACAAACAGTAAACCTTTCTTGCTGTGACTTAAATGGGTGGAGCATATTACTAAATATTTCATAACTGCATTTTTAACCACACTGAAATCCATAGAGCAACTTTTAATGAGGTCGATAAAGCATAGAAAAATCATTCCATAATTACCTTAAAATAGTATCAAATTTGGGATTTTAGGTGACATAGACATTGCCAAATTCAGAGCCTTTTTCACTATAGATGTCACTCTCTTGCCATTCTGAAAGAGATTTCTATATCTCTGAGTTGACAAAAGACGGTTGCATCCTTTAGAACAGTGATTCCCAAATATTTTTTCTCCTTACCAAGACACACATGAGGGATAATATTCAAAATTTCCCCCACCCCATCAGTCCCAATCGTTCCCTAAGACCTGCTGCACGAATAAAAGAGGTCGCCACCTATGCTTGCATCTAAGCCTCTGCTCAGTGGAATACCACTCTTTTCTCTTCTACTGATCTAGATGTGAGGTGAGAATTACTGACTTAGATGATATCTACAAAAAATACAAGTAAGGTCAATCTAATATATACTTGAAAGAGGGGGCCACCTATAGGAAAGGATTTCAGGGGCATTGGGAAATCCCCCTTGTGTATGAGGTATTACAAGGCTTTGTTTAAAAGCAAAATAGGCTGTCAGCTGAGCGGACCTAGAAGCAACAATTCCCCAGTAGCAAAGAGCACACCTAGCACCCAAATCTTGGTGTCTAATATCATTCTTCATTAAAAGGAATCAAGGGTCCTTGGGAAAATGGCTGATTCTAGGACTGGGGGCAGGGAATATATAAGATAAGCCTGGGGCTTCCCTGGTGGCGCAGTGGTTGAGAGTCCGCCTGCCGATGCAGGGGACACAGGTTCGTGCCCCGGTCCGTGAAGATCCCACGTGCCGCGGAGCGGCTGGGCCCGTGAGCCATGGCCGCTGAGCCTGCGCATCCGGAGCCTGTGCTACAGGACGGGAGAGACCACAACAGTGAGAGGCCCCTTTACCGCAAAAAAAATAAATAAATAAAAAGATAAGCCTGGAACATCTTAGAGTGCTGAAATATAAGAAAATACTAAACAAACAAACAGACAACAACATAAAACAATGAGGAGATTATGTCAGAGGGACAGATGTACCAACTGAAAGAGCTCCCAGTGGTCAAAGGTGGATAAATTTGACCCAGAAAATACAATTGCATTGGATTATTACCCAATGTATAATATAAATATCCATGAGTCCATCGTGATATAAATAAATGATTGAATAAATAAATAAGTGGGAGAAAAAACCAAATATCTCATGCAGAAGAATTCTAAATAATTTTATGTAGATACTTTGGTCTTAATGAAGTGGAGCATAACTATCACTCCTTATGCATGGACTGTGAATAACTACTTTCTTCCAAAGAGGGCAATTTGAAAAGGGAGTGAAGAAAGAACAACTTTATAGTGGAGAAAGACAAATACTATCTTGAGCCAGCTGATCAATATCAACAATGGAAAAGCATACTGATACTCCACATCCTTGTTATGATGTGATGAAAATACTATTGTATCTCTGTGTTCTTTCTCCCCAAAACACATTACCCCAGTATAAACATGAAAAAAAAACCACATAAATCTCAATTGAGGGACGTTCTACAAAATATCTGAATAGTACTACTCAAACTGTCAAGGTCATCAGAAACAAGGAGAGTCTGAGAAACCACCACGGCCAAAAGGAGCTTAAGGAGACACGAAGATCAAATGCAAGGGAGGGGTATCCCAGATGGAATCCTGGAACAGAAAAAGGGCATTAAGGAAAATCTGAGGAAGGCTGAATAAAATGTGGACTTTAGTTAATAATGATGTATCACTATTGGTATATTAGTTGTAACAAGTGTATCACAGTCATGGAAAATGTTAATACTAGGGGAATATGGGTGTAGGGCATACAGGAACTTTCTGTACTATCTTTGCAATAATTCTGTAAATCTAAAACTGTTCTAAAATTTAGAAGTGTATTTAAAAGCAAATTGGGAGTTTTAATTGCAGCACTTTTTATAGGGACAAAAGCACTGGAAACAAAGTATATGCACATCAATAATGAAATGATTGACTAAATTGTGGTATCATAGGCTATTAAACAACACCAAATATTATGTACTTAAAAGGATGAGTGAGCTCTCTATCAATTGACTTGTAAATATTTCCACTATGTATTTTTAATAAGGAGAGAAAATGCATGGAAATATGTAACTCTCTTTTTATCTTGTAAAACAGTGAGGAGAAATCCCCATGTAGATATGCTTGTATAATTAAAAGAATAAGGGGAAGGTATGCAAGGATACACACTATATTGTTAGCATTTCTCAGGGTAGGGGAATGGGTGAGAGGAGAGGAAGGAAGAAAGGAGAGATAGTCAGACTGGGGAAATAAGCAGGGCAGGGGAAGTAAGCAGTAATTAATTCAATAATTCATTATAAGTATAGCACCTGTATATAGTAGGCTGATGCTCTACAAATAAAATTTTAAATTTGTGAAAGCAAAACAAACAGAGCAAATGGAATAGGGGGAGGAAAAGAGATCTATTTTAGATTGGCAGGATTTAATGAGGGTGGGAAGGAAGAGGGTGTAAGCAGGGAGAGAGTAGCAGCACTGTAAAGAACAGAGTGTCAGACAGTGGAACCGAATTACACCCACTTCTCATTTCTGCCAAGAGCTGTCCAAGGAGGTGAAAATACTGATTATTGCTAAGGGTGTGATCAGAATGATTGCTATTTTTGCCAATATCCTGGGGCTTTTGCCCACCGCAAAGAGACTAAACTTGCTCCCCCAATACTTCCTCCCAATATACATACAAAAGTGATTCTTAGAGCATCAAGAAGGTTCTCTATTTATATACCACCTTGCTCTCCTGCCCTTTGAACAATGAGGCCACACCAGGGGCTTCCAAGTGCTTTTGATGAAGAGGTGACATAGCTTTGGCATCAGACAAAGTCCACAGGAAACAAAAATGGAAGGGTCTGCATTTCCAAGAAGGTAAAATCAAACAGTAGAGTGCAGGTCCCTGGTGAGCAAGATCAGACACTTCTAAAATGGCAGTATTGAAGAGTGGTTTAAAGGTCACCTCAGCTACTTACTTCAACACCTAATGCAGTCTCTATCTGAGATTTGAGATCCTAGATCCTGACACTGGGATGGAGGGGGGAGGAAGGACATACTGTGGAATCACTGGGGATAAAACAGACTGCTTTTCACTGTAAACTTCTTGCAAGTAGGAACTGTGTCTGTGGTATCTTCTCAGAATAGTATATAGGAACACAGGATGACCATGTGCTTATAGGGTCCCATGTTGAATATTTAGATACAGTAGACTCAAATTCACATTGTAAATCCCATGAAGAATTTCACCAGAAGCATTTGAAGCTATTTTCCATCAATAAGAAAGGAAAGACCCTGACCTAAATGATTCTTTAGGTCATTTTCATAGCCAGATATGCAAAAACAATTATTAATACAGATCTTCCTGTACTAACAATTGGAGTTATGTCCCGATAAACCCATAGTAAACTGAAAATATCTTAAGTCAAAAATGCATTTAATACACCTAACCTACCGAACATCATAGCTTAGCCTAGCCTACCTTAAATGTGGTCAGAACACTTACATTAGCCTGCAGTTGGGCAAAATTATCTAATTCAAAGTCTATTTTATAATAAAGTATGCATATTTCATGTAATTGATTGAATACTGTACTAAAAGTGAAAAATGGAATGGTTGTATGGGGACAGAGTGATTTTAAGTGTATCAGTTGTTTACCTCATGATCACTTGGCTGACTGGGAGCTGCAGCTTACTGCCTGCCACTGCCCAGCATTATGAGATAATATCATACCGCATACTGCTAGCCTGGAAAAAGTTCAAAATCCAAAGTGAGGTTTCTACTGAATGTGTGTCACTTTTGCACCATCGTAAAGTTGCAAAATTCTAAGTCCAACCATAATTAAGTCAGGGACCATCTATATAAGACCCTGGAGCAGGGGTGGAGTTGGGAAATAAATGAATCACAAAATTTTCTGAATTAAATGAGAATACATAGTAAATGGGAATCTTATTTTATCAAAATGTGATAAGAACTTGCTATATTGTTCCAATAAATAATTAGAATTGAATTTATTGAAGCTCCACATGCACTGCAGCCTTTCAAGAATATATCCACTGTATAACATGAGGCACACCCATACACACTCCAGTCCCAAAGCAAGACTACCACCCGTGACATTGAGCAGTTTTCACACAGCACTTACCTTAAAACACAAGTGTAGAATCCACTGTCTTGCGCCTCAGCTGAGTGAAACCATATTGAATCTTCCTCTTTGCTCATCCTGACCTCTGAAAAGATGATGGGCTCTTCCAAATCACCTTTGTTTTTGTACCACATCAGCCTGAGCCCAGTGCTCTGGGCCATGCTATAGTTGGTACGAATGTAACTGTAGAAAAGGGCACATTTCACTCGGACTGGTTCACCTGCCAAAGCCATATATGTCTTGAGATCCACTGACCAGTCAATGCAGCCATCCACTGAAAGAAAACCAGATTGGGCATGAGATGCAGTGAGCACTGTTGACAATAATGAGAAGAGCAACAATTATTGCCAACACGTACTGAGGACTTGCTATGAGCTAGACACTGAGTCACATGCTTTACATAGATTACCTCATTCAATCTTCCCAGTGATCCTATGAGATAGATCAGTATCCTCCTTAGACCTGGGCAAGCAGGATTCCTGCCCTAGCCCTGTGCCTTTGGGGTATTTCCAGCCCTCTGCAGTAAACTTTGGGTTGACTAGATCTTCCAAGGAGCTCCAGCACTCACGCCTATGGGGTTTTCCTGGGGCCCCACAGATAGATATCAATTCCAGTGGATCACTCCTGCCAGTCACGAGGCATCCACTTAATAGAATTTTGTGAGATTGGATGGCTACAATGACACTGACATGTTGATTTTTGGCGACTCAAATTGTTTATATAGACAGGAGCCCCACAAAACAAAGATTTCCTTAGGACCCATATAGAGCCTAGGAGCAGTCCTGAGATTGACCCTTCTATTATTCTTATGTTATAGATGAGAAAACTGAGACTCAGAAAAGTTCAGCAACTTTGCCTATGGACACAGAGCTAATAAGTGGTGGAAAACCAGTCTCTGATTCCCAAGACTCTGTTCTTAACCACTATCCTATACTGCCTCTGCCTGTAATTGTAACAGGAACCATTGTTTTATTTATTTGCCTTTGAGAAAGTAGATGCCTGGGTTGGAAGCAGTGGATACCTAAAATGATTATTTGCCATTATCTACATGCCAGTTTTCCATGGTATGACCTACTAAGAGCAGGTATTTAATCACACTTCAGTTTCTTTTTATACCCTTAGATCTCCCTTGCTGCTCAGCTGGTGTGCGCTCATGGGAATATATTATATTAATGTCAAGTTTAATCAAATAATATTAGGTGGGTAAATCTACCATTAAAGAAGGACATAGGCAATAAATTCTCTTTTCCAGAAGGGTTGGAAATGAGACACTGTGGCTAATTTTATATGCTAATTTTATATGCTAATCAATACAATTAGCATAGTTATTCTACCTCCAATTGCTGATTTTCAAAGAATTTCATCAAATTGTGCTACATTATATTACTTGATTACCCTTTATAAAATAATCCCTTCATAAACTGTATAAACACTGTCATTTTAAAATTATATGTTTCACTTATCATTCTGTGAACTGATCTGCTTCCTTTTTTAGATGTTGAGAACTCTGCAACCCAGTGTGTTTATCTTTTAACCTCAGTTGACAGGAAGCTCAGAGCTAAATGCAATGCTCAAGTGAAATAACTATCTTACCTCAGGATTTTGCTTTCTCTACATAAGGGGTTCTTGACCTGGGGTTCAAGGACACCCAGGGGCAGAGTGCCTGGATAGACTTCAAGGTTGTGCCTATTTGCATAGCTATACTTTTCTGAAGAGATGTTCCACAGCTCTTTATCAGACCTTCAAAGGGGTCTATGGCCCAAGAAAGTTTTTGAACTCTGTAGTTTCTGATGTCTCTTTGTGACTTCATTTTTCACTGCCTTGCTGCATAGGAGCTTTTATTATAAGTTGCCTCAAATCCTCTTATAGTATGTGAAGTATTCATTAGAAATAAATCAATAACCAAATAAATAACTCATCCTAAATTTATAATGAAGGGCATTTGAACTTTGAGTACTCACAGGGCACCAGATTCATCACTATGAATTTTGATGACCATTGTGCACTGCTGAAGTCAAGAAGGTACATCTGAATTGGACTAAGTACGTACTGATATCTGGCTATCTCTTGGGGGGCTTTTTTATTCACTCCCAAGTATCAGTTGTTTACCTGTCATTTGTCATTCTCACAACTGTCAAGAACAGAGAGGGGGAAATCTGCATTCGTTAAACTTTCTGGGTCATGGTAAATTACTGATGATACATCTCTGTATTAAATGCAATTTTAATATTTATTGTTTTATCATCTTTAAATTAATTTTATATTATTCCTTTTTAAGGATTATTTGTGATACTGTTCCCATGCATTAACACAAGTGAGAGGAAACGGTTTTTTTTTGAGAATATATTTTTTCTCATAGCTTTATTTTAAAAGTTTGTTAATAGAAAATATGGGGATAAATTTTTTTTAAACTCCTTAATATTCCAGTTTTTGTTTTCTCCTAACCCTAAGATGCACAGCAAGTGTTTCTGAATTAACAAATTTGTCTTGGTGAAGTAGTTTCAAACCTCTATAACTACCTACTTGTTAGAAAAAGAAATCTGGAATTTTTTTTCATTTGCACACTAAATCCCCTTAGTTACTTCCTCTAAACAATCTGTTGCATAATCTACACCTGTACAATGTTTAACAGGCTGGTTTGTCCCATTAGTGACAGGACATGGCTGGTATAGAAAATAATCAAAAATCTGCTCCTGGGACACAACCATCATGTTCAAAGGCAGTTGAAGACATTAAACTGCCATTACAACTAGCTTTGTCATACGGAACTTGCGAGTACACTGAGAATTCATTTCCTTCTAAGTACTAGCTGAGCAAAATGTATTTGACTTAATAAATTTACGGTTCCTTTTCTTCTGTTCCCTTGCTTTAGGTAGCAGAGAGGGAGTCTTTAGTTATAAAGTAGTCAATCGACAGAGAATAGATATTCAATAATAAGGACAACAATTTCCAAACGTTATTCCTTTATTCTTTTCTCTTAGTATAGTCATACCTCAGTATCTGCAGGGGACTGGTTTCAGGAGCCCCATGGATATTAACACCTGTGAATGCTCAAGTCCCTTATATAAAATGACTTAGTAGTAGCATATAACCTACATATACCTTCTGATATACTTTAAATCATCTCTAGATTACTTATAATAGCTAATACAATGTAAATGTGATGTAGTTGTAAATGCAATGTAAAAGTTGCCAGTGTGCAGGAAATTCAAGTTTTTCTTTGTGGAACTTTCTGCAAATTTAAAAAATATTTTCCATCCACGGTTGGTTGAATCCAAGGATGTAGAACCTGCGAATATGGGCAGGGTTGGGGGCGACTGTACTCACAATACAGGTTACAATATAACATATCTCAAGAGACCTCAGGCGATTTTCCCAAAAAAAGTAGACAAAGTGTATGATCCATGAAGGCCCATCTGACACCGAATATTTTCCCATGCTGAACTTTACTCATGGGAAATCCATTCCCATGAGTAAAGGCCTTGTAGCCTTATATCTAGAGAGTATAGGACCACTACTAGATTCCAGCAAGGTGGTATGATTTGTTTTTAATGGATTGCTATTCCTAGGAAAACCAACAGAGAGAGAGGCAAGATGGGATGAAATACTACAATGTGGTGCATTTATCTTTAGACTTGGGACTGATGAAACAACTAAAAAGGGCCTACTGAGGTAAGAGGCCTGGAAACTCAGGTGGCAAGGGAACATGATGGGATTGAAACCTTGAGGTTAAGAGGGAAGGTTAAGAGAAAGCAAAGGGAAAGAGATATGGGAACATATGTATATAACTGATTCACTTTGTTATAAAGCAGAAACTAACACACCATTGTAAAGAAATTATACTCCAATAAAGATGCTAAAAAAAAAGAGAGAAAGCATGAGAGGGTCACAAAAAGGCAGGAAGAGGAGGAGGCTCACATAAAACTCAATTTGCCAAGGGCCATTCCAGGGATCAAAGATGGTGCCATCAGGAGTCACCAGTAAAACTCACATTTCTGTCATGAGAAGGAGTTTGTAATACATGCCACATGTTCAGAGCCCTATGCACTTTGACACTCCACATATATTTGGCAAATAGGTGAATGAATAGATCTGTGATGCAGCTGACAAGGGAGCACGCTATGGCCAGGTTGGGGACATAGTGGAACTGAGTAGCCCACAGAGGGAGCCTACCTGCAAGCTTGACCTTATCAGCAAGGCCTCTCATTCACAGAGGGATCCAGCCCTATTCTGTTCACAACTCCAGTCACACCTGTGTAGGTTTGCCCCTGAAAGACTCCTAAGAAAAGTGGTTTCTGGACAGATTGGCTTCTCCCACAGGTGGTTTGATGACTACGTTTCACTAACCAGCCACAAGTGTAAATAGAGGCACTGTAAGAAGGAAAATGGTTTTCCCCCCAAAAAACAGCAACGTTCTGCAGTTGGATTGAAATTTGCTACAGAACAAACCCATCAAAAGCATCACTGAATGCATGCCTGTCCTCTGCTTCACAATTTCTCAGTATGGCTATAAATATTCCCATCATTCCATTAAAAAATACCTATTTCTAAATTATCCATTCCCTGTTCACTCTTGAGTCTTGTTATGAACAGCAATTCAAGTATTTAAAGAACAATTGTGTTTCTCTAGATGCTCATCTCTGTTCCCTTGATTTAGGTTTCTGTAAGGCTTAAAATCATTACTCTTAGTTTGGTCTTGTTGGTAGAAATGCTTTGATATCTGAGCTATACAAAACAATTACAATGCAGCAAAGAAAGCCACTTCTTTAAAACATAGGTCTCTATTTTAATCATTTTCATTTCAAACTGCAAAACAAGTGTATGCTTAAGGAGTTTGACATGAAGATTCAAAAAAAAAAAGGAGCATATGAAACATATAAAGGGACATGCCAATGTCCACGCAATTTATTTTACCAAGAGGAGAGTCCTAGGGGTAAAACTAATGCAGTATCCTGGAAAGTGCCCTGGGTGACCAAAGCAAACCTATTTAGCCTGCTTATAGACAAGCCTCGGCTTCCTCCTCAATGCATCTGGAAAAGCAAATCCTGTCACACCTACCTGCTGTGAAAACAAAGTCCTGAGAAAAGTTTTTAATCCCTAGAAGAGGATAAGATGTTATTATCAACAACAACAATTATATTATTTTAGAAAAAAAAGAATATTGCATGCAGTAAAATTACAAGCTCTAATGGCTATGTACATTACAGTTTTTATTGGGGGATAGGATATATAGGTATGCATAGGATTGCCAATTTTGGATGCCCCAAACTGGGA